CTGAGACCCTGGCCCTCCCACCCCCCCAAAAAAATTCTATAAAATAATGTTAAAAGAAATTAAAGAAGGCCTAAATGAATGGAAGAGAAGAAAATAGAAGCTTCCCAATTAATTAAATCTGCAGAAGCTAGCACAAAGAGAAATGTATAAACCACTCTCCTTACAAACAGAGTGGGAGAAATATAAATAATAATCAAGCAGCAGTATATTAATAATGTACTTTGATCAGTAGAGCTGACTTAAGAAATGAAAAGGTGGCTCTCAGTGCCCATAACACAGTGCTTAGGGCACCAGCCACATACACTGAGGCTGGTGGGTTCGAACCTGGACTCGGCCTGCTAAACAACAGTGACAATTGCAACAACAACAAAATAGCCAGGCATTGCGGTGGGCACCTGTAGTCCCAGCTACTTAGGAGGCTGAGGCAAGAGAATCACTTAAACCCAAGAGTTTGAGAATCCTGCAAGCTGTGACGCCAGGACCCTTTACCCAATCGACATAGTGATACTCTGAAAAAAAAAAAAAAAAAAAAAAAAAAATATAGATTCCTGGACCCCAATGCCAGGTCTCAACAGGAGCCCAAGGACCAGAATTTTTCTGAGGTTAGAAATCAGAAAAAAAAAAAATTAACATTTAAATTACCAAAACAATCATATTAGCTATAATTTTGTTGTGCCTGGCTTCATATCAGGTAATTTATACCACCAGCTATGTCATTTCAATTTATATCTGACAAGGAAATGTGCTCAAGGTCAGCACAGAAAGTGAGCAGCAAAGCTGTGGACTCGAGTGACAAACTCTTACTCTTCCCACTCTTTAAACTCTCAGTAAATAGTGTTCGCAGGATCCAGCAGAAATGAGAACTCAGTGACCTAACCAGATGAGACTCATGAAGGGCAGAGTGAGTCCAGAATCACGTCAGGGTAATGTTTAGTGGTTTCCTGACCGCCCACTACCACTACTGCTGTTTAGCCACAAGTGAAATCTGATAGTCACTGTCAAGACTGACCCGTGAAATCTGAGAATGTATTCACCCCAAGTAGCTAAAATGCATTAAGTCCCAAAATGGTATAATGCTTCTGAGAAGTACTAAGGCCTGGTAACAACAACTGCTTTCTACTGACCTTAATTCAGTCGGTCCATAAGAAGTGGCTTGAAAGAGTCTTTCTGGAAGAGCCACTGCCTACCCTCTCCTTTGAGCACCACTCTTCTCCAACACCAATCATATTATCCTGTCTGCCTATGGATGTGCAAGTGGCACAGAGCCAGCAAATCAGAGGTCCTCATTCCAGGTACACTGACTGGTCCACAGATGGGTATGCAATCCTAGCAAATCCAATTGCAGCCTTCTCTGGGGGTTTCTATGTGAGATTAGAAAAGGAAACCTGCAAGGAACAGAAGGACCCCACGAATAAAGCTTGTTTACAGTGGAATAGAGTCCTTAAGGTCCCTGGAGCTGCCAGGTTATCTGCAGCTTTCCCTTCAATTCTGTTCTTTCCAACAACCCATATGAGCCTATAAATATCCACTTTGTTTAAGATGGTTTTATTTGGTATTAATCAATGACAACTAAGAATTCTATTACAAATTTAAGTAAGGTAATCCAATGCACAGCATAGTGGCTACAGTTAACAATACTGTAATGCATACTTGAAATTTGCTAAGATAGTAAATCTTTAGTGTTAAAAAAGTTAATATGAGAGGATGAATGTTAACTAGTTTAACTGTGGTAATCATTTCACAATGTATGTATATCAAAGGATCCCACTAGGTGCCTTAAACATACACAATTTCTATCTGTCAATTATATACCAACAATACTGAAGGAAAATTATGTAATTATATACATTTTACAAGTGAGAAAATTAAAGCACAGAAATGACATAATTTGGTAAAAGGTCTTATAATAACCACAGCCAGCATGAAAATAAAGATTTGCTTCACTCTAAGACCTACATATAGTATTTTCTGATTACTGATTTAATAGCTTCAAACAAAATACGCTAATTGATGAACAATTTTAGTGAAAAATTGTCCCTATCACTTTAAAGTTCTTTGAGAATTTAGAAGGACTTAGCAAGGTGGTTCATGCCTGTAATCTTAGTTCACTTATGGTGAGCTAACTTAAGGGCTCACTTAAAGCTAGGAGTTCAAGAGCAGCCTTAGCAAAATACAGAGACTCTATCTCTATATAAAAGTATCCAGGACTGGTGGCATATACCTAACACCCAGTTACTTGGGAGGCAGAAATTCCTACCAGGAATTCAAGGTGACAGTCCAAATTGGGTGACAGAGTGAAATCCTGTGGCTTAAAAAAAAAAAAAAAAACAACTTCGAAAGACCCAACTTAAGTATTTAATTGTCATGGAATTCTGTGCAATAAATATATTTTTAAGAAGATTTGACCCATAGAACCTATTAGATATAAACCTAGATCCCATATTCCCATTTTCTAAATGAGAGAAGTAATAGTTGTAATCTTTCAAGTAAGATGGCATCAAAAAAGAAAAGAATGAGGCCAGGCGTGGTGGCTCATGCCTGTAATCCTAGCACTCTTGGAGGCTGAAGCACTCCTGCTTGAGCTCAGGAGTTCCAGATCAGCCTGAGCAAGAAGGAGACTCTATCTCTAAAAATAGCTGGGCATTGTGGCAAGTGCTTGTAGTCCCAGCTACTAGAGAGGCTGAGGCAAGGGAATTTCATGAGCCCAGAGTTTGAGGTTGCTGTTAGCTGTGACGCCACGGCACTCTACCAAGGGCAACAAAGTGAGAATCTGTTTCAAAACAAAAGAGAGAAGAATGCAATGAGACTCAAGACTTAAAGAACAGAGGACTTGTCTCTTAGCTTGCCTCATCGCCCCCACTGCCCACTGAGCTTATCTTTCTTTATAGAAATAGCTCTTGTACAGCAATCAAAAGATACAGTTTCTAATCTTTTCCAATTTCTGATGCCCTTTAGATCTTAGCTAAATAATTTATACATAGAAAGAGACAACTAGAAATACCTACTTCAATTGCATGGTAGCCAAAAAAGTTGATTTAACTCTATGAGATCTCTATAGAGATGTTATAAATGGTATCTAAAATAATCAGCCCTGGTGGCCTAATAGATAAGGCACTGGCCTCCTTTAAATAAAAAGACTGCTGAGGTCTTAGGAACTTGCCCAACCTTAATCAAATCATAGGGTAAAACTGTGACAACCTAGCTTCCCATGTAGTTCCTCTGCCAGAAGTCTCCTCACTCATGCAAATGTGGTGAAATGTTAATTACCACATATTTATATAGACTGGTACACCTTTAGTTTTAACTTGGATATACATCATCTAAGTAAAGATAATTTATAAAACTGTCATGAAGTATCTGACAGTGCTAAAAATTAACATTATGGTATCAAACTGATATGCTAATATCATAGTGTAATTAAAGTATGTGTTATTGCTACCTTACATCTCTATCCAAGATAAAATAACTCCTTTTCCATACCTCCTTTTTTAATCTTCCATAATTGTAACTGCTTCACAATAACATAATAGGTCATGAACAGTTCAGCTCCCACCTGTCATTTTTGTATGAGCTCATTAAAGTCTTCAGTCACTGCCTCTCCCAGGACAGATAACTAAGGAGTGATAACCTGGCTCTGGAAAGTAGTTCTGCTTTTAATAGTTCTGGCTAGTGCTGACTGAATATAGAGCCCTGAAATAGGAAAATATCCTGCGTGTAATCAGATCATGGGGTAAAAACGTGACGATCCACCTTTCCACACTGCACATCTACTCAGACTTCCCACTTTCGTTCTGGAAATGACCATCAACTCTCAGAATGATGTTAAACAGCCGCCTACCGCTGACCTCTACTATCTCTGCTATCAAAGCAGCATTTACCTCTCATAGGGAGCATTTCAGGTCCTTCCCAGAGAGGTGCCCACCAACAGAGGGGTCCAGGTTTCAAGGCACTGCAAATGTTTAGATTTTACTAAACAATGACGAAAACATTCTGATAGTACACTTCCATTTAAATCTCACGTGGAGGCTCAGCGCCTAAGGCGCCAGCCACGTACACCTAAGGTGGCGGGTTTGAATCCAGCTCGGGCCTGCCAAACAACAGAGACGCTGCAACCAAAAAATAGCCGGGCGTTGTGGCGGGCACCTGTGGTCCCAGCTACTTGGGAGGCGGAGGCAGGAGACTCGCTTGAGCCAAGGAGTTGGAGGTTGCTGTGAGCTGTATGCCACGGCACTCTACCCTGGGGGACAGCCTGAGGCTCTGTCTCAAAAAAATAAATAAATAAATAAATCTCACGTGGATTCCATCTCTGGCAGTGATGTGTGCAAATCCCTCTAAGTCATTATGCTGCTTTTAAAATACCCATTTCTCAGGGAAAACAGCTCCATCCCACCTCACAAGACTGAGCATGATTAAGTATCGCTCATCTTAATCTTCTGTAAGTTTCAGAATAACCCATATATTTCCAAAAGAAAAATTCACAACTTGTATTAACGACACGTCTAGATTTAACTAACCGCGGCCAAAACTGAAAACTGTAAGCGTTGACACACGAAAATTAGCTGGCCCTTTCACCAAAGGAAAGGGTTCTCTTCCCCCGCTACCCCCCGCACTAGGGAGCCTGCCTGATGTTTAAAATAAACATCAACTTGAATGCCATGGAGAGGGAATTCACACTAACCAGAGAGCAATAAGGCTTAGGTAGGCAGTGAATCCTATCTTCAGTGAATCCTTTAAAAAAAAAAAAAAGTTGAAAATTAACTTCCCATTGTTTTAAAGAGCACGCAAGGACTGGGTCAGCAGACAGACAGACACACACACACAATGTGGGATGCTTTCAAGCGGGAGCAGCGCACGGTTCACCCTGGGCTTGAAGAGACGGAGGGAAATGACTGAAGGGGTTAGAGACGGCGGCAAAGAAGCGGGAGGCGCGGGACCGACGGCGAGCAGCGGGCCCAGGCCCAGCCCCGCGCCCCCGCCCCGAGACCTGGAACGGCCCGTACCTGTCCGACCGACCGGGATGCGTCGAGGTGCCCGCGCCTCTCACGGCGCCGCGCCCGCCGCCCGCGAGCCAGGAAGCCGCTGCGGCCTGCGGCTTCCCGCCACCGCCGCCCGCCCCTTCCTCCAGGGACACGGCGAGCTGACTGAAGGCGTAGAGGAGCGAGCAGAAGCCGCAGGCCAGACACAGCACCACGACGCGCAGGTAGCGCCGCATCGCCCCGGCCGCGCTCCCCCGACGCCGCCGCCGCCGCGCCCGCCAGGGCGAACTGGAGCGGAGGGAGCGGCAGCGCGCAGTCGCCGGCGCAACAAGTTCCTCCGCCGCCGCCGCCTCGCGTCCTCTCCGTTCGTCCCTCCCTCCCCCGCCCACCACCTAGGCCAGCGCAGCCCCGGCGCCCCAGCCGGCCAACAGCCCGCCCGGAAGCCTGGACACCGCCTCCGCCTCCGCCTCCGCCCCCGCGCCCCTGGGCCCAGCAGCGACGCGGCCCCGCCTCTCCCCCGGGGGCGGGAGCGGCCGCGCGCGCCGGCGCACTGAGCGCGGGACGCGGCCGGCCGGGGTGGGGGGACGCCGACCCGGGGCGGTAACGCCTGAGCCCGGCGACTCTGAACCGCAGAGAGGGGGAGTGTCGGGAAAAGAACAGGGCTCTGGAGTCAGTTGACCTACATTCAAATTATGGTTCTTCCACGAGGTCGTTCGTGACGTAGACCAGGCTAAATCTCTCTGAGCATGGTTATTTTTCTAGAAGGGAGATGCTATCTTCACCGTAGGGTGACTGTAAAGATTAAATTGTTTAACGCACGAGAAAACGCCTACAATTCAAGAAGTCACTCTCCCAGTCCAAACTCCTTGTTGTCTAAGTTCCTATGATATTGTCTGTGTGAGCATTTTGAGCCGTGTCGTCTTCTCTTTAATGTTGTTTCATATAGTCCATCTTGCCTCGCAAAAGGCTAAGTGCCTCTAAGGCCGGGGCCTCCCTTTTGCCCTTTGACCTTACTCATAACTCATTTGCATGTCCAGAACAGTATTAGTTTTCTCCCTAAAGAGCTGCTTCCCCATTTCTTCTTCCTCTTTCCCAGCTGTTCCCACTGCATTCATCTACCCTTTAGAGAGCACTACTATGTGCTAAAGCACTAACTGGTCCTACCTAAGTGGACCACGACACTTATTCACAACGACACAGACATTAGGGTGGATCGAGGCCTGTCTGGGTGTGGGCACACATACAAAGAAGCAATCCGTTCTACCTACAAGTGTGGTCAAAAGAGACATCGTAGCAAAGATAGCTCTGGAGTGTTGAGTAGGGTAAGGGAAGTAATTCAGGCTGAGGGATCGGTGAAGCAAGCTCTTGTGTTCTAAGAACTGTGCGAAGTTTGATACCACCAGCTAAGTGAGGACAAGACCAGCTAAGTGCAAGAGAGGCTATGATGAGCGATAAGACTGTACAAGTAGAAGGAGTCAGGTATCTCAGTGCTTTGTTTAGCACACGGAGGAGTTTAAACTTTCTCTCCAGACAATGGTGAACTGTTAAAGTATTTTTAAGTAAAGAAGTAACACGATCATATTTGCATTTTAGAGAGCAGATTCTGGCTGTAGGGTGGAGCTGGAACAGTGATGAGAAAGACAGCAGCTCGAGCACCCAAAAATCAGGGGAAAGAGGCTTAAAAACACCTGGGCACGTGTGCACGCACACACACATTTCATGGAGAAAAATCATGCTATTAAACTGCTGAAATTGCAGCTAGGACACGGAAAAGTTTGGCCTTGAAATACAAAGTGGAGAAATGCCTACAACACAGTAGTAACTCTTCGTTCCCTATGCCAAAACAGTGCTGGCTCTGTGACCATGAGAAAAGTCACTAAACAAACAAGGCTCAGTTTTCCCTACAAGGATTAAATTTCTTGCCTTACCTGAAAAAAAAAAAAA